CCGCAACCCCCAGACATGGCTGGTCCTGACCTAAGGTGAACCTCCCCCCTCCCAACCACCCTTGTTCCCCCTAAAAATTTGTTAAAACACCCCTTTAAAAAGAACCTCAGTTTGGCCAATTTAAATAATTTTCTGTTTGAACCCACTGCATGCCACCTCTCGGGGTTCCAAACCCCATCCTCGAGGTGGGCCCTTGAGATCTTATTGGGCCAGGCCTGCGCGAGGGGTGAGTCGCGCAGGGCCAATAGGACCGTCCTAGGGTACATAGGTTAAGTCGTAAGTCCGGCTGTGGGAGATCGAAAAAGAAGGGGGGGGGAAAAGAATTTTCAGTCCCGGCCACACCAGGTCCTCCATCGGCCGGAACGGGGCCGAAGCCAGGATCCTCCAGGCCATACTGGGTCCTCCACCGGCCAGAGACAAAGCCGGGGCCACGTTCTTCTGTGCCCTCCAGTCCTCACCAGGGCCTCCAACGGCCGAAGACAAAGTCGACATCGGGGTCCTCCGGGCCATACCAGGCCCTCCGCTGAAAAGCCAGGGCTGGGGGAGAGCAGGGCCGGAACTGGAGCCTCCGCCTCCAGGCCTCTCGACTGAAACAGGGCCAACGCCCAGGCTGGGAAGCCGGGCAACTGGAGAGTAGAATCGGGCCGAAAACGGGCCGAATGTCAGGCCGCCCAACCAACGCTAGGCCGCCCGACCAACCGGAGCAGGCCAGCGCCAGGGCCAAGGAGCCAAATGACGGGGCCGAAGCCAAGCCTCCACCGCCAGGCCGCCAAAGTTCTTCCAGGGCGCCCAGGTCCTTCCAAGCCGCAGAATCGGGCCGAAAACGGACCGAACGCCAGGCCGCCCAACCAACCGAAGCAGGCCAGCGCCCGGGCCGGGGAGCCGAATAACGAGGTCAAGGCCAGGCCTCCACCACCAGGCCGCCCAAGATCTTCCCGGCCAGAGTTCTTCCCGGCCGCCCGAGTCCTTCCAAGCCGCCCGAGTCCTCCCAGCTGCGGCCGGGTCCTCCCAGCTGCGATCGAACAAGCCGAGTCCTTCCAGCTACAGTCGCCCAAGCTGGGCCCAGACTGGAGACGGGCCCAGGCTGAAGACGAGCCGAAACGGGTCGAGGGCGGGCCAAAAACGGGCCGGGCGGGCTAAAACGGGTCCGAGCGGGGGATCACCCACCCGCCCATCGCCGCAGGCCCCCCGAGGCACCCCCAAAACACCCCCATACCCACTTGCCGGGTCCGTATACTACGGAGCGAGCCGTAGTCGATCCGCCATCTTGGGCATGCGCAGAACTTGGGCATGCGCAGATCCGCCATCTTGGGCATGCGCATAATGTTTTTGGGATTTGTGAATGGAGGATGGGATGTTACGGAAATAAGTGAATTATGAATATAATCTTACAGAATGTAGAGAAATATTAAATCTGCCTATACTTATTGTAAGGAAGATCAAGAATCACTACTTAAAATATCCTTTTTCTTGCTTTTTCTTTTGGTACTGTGTATTTCTTTTACTTCCATTTTTTTCTTGCTGATTTTAGTTTTATTATCTTTTATATTGTTAAGCCCTTACGTACTTTAAAAAAGAAGAAAAAAACCAAACCAAATTACTTTGTTTTATAGATTTATAGGCATGCAGACCATAACATATATTATATATACTATACATACATATATTTGGATTTCAGAAACACTAATCATCCCTGAACAAAGTAATGGCTGTTGCTGAAAAGCCAAGCACCTAACAAGCTAAGAATTGGCTTAGAGGACCATAAAGTCTTACCTACAGTACAACTACAGGGATATAGGCAACAATTGGTTGCCTGCAGAAATATAGGCAATAAACAATTAGCCTGGATGATATTCTATGAACACACCCTTTCTTTTATAAATAACAATGTACAGGTACTATTACAATCACATCTGGTGTGTACTGTATGCAGTTCTGTAATACAGTTGGTTATCCCAAACCCTTGTTTTGCTGCTGTAAGAACATTTAAGGCAAAGAACTGTTTTAGTGTGCCTATGCATAGAAGGGAAAGAATGCTAGATACATATGATACCTTTCCCATTACAACCTCCTGATTGTGTACCTGGCTGCTCTTCTCATGTTGTCTCAATTCCTTTTTTTTGTGTAAATATTTTATTAATTTCAAATTTTACAATCATAAGTACTTAATAAACAACTCGGTGTCTGGGTTCCTTTATCATTCAGTGGTATATACAACTTTCACTCAAAATATCCAATACTACGCAATCCAGTATTTCTATGATCCTCTCTTCTTCCAATAATAATCATTTTTTCACACTATGCAAGTATAATTCTTACTGCTATTAATACCTATACAATTAAATATAAACATTTTCATCACATGTTTCTAATGTTTTACATAATGTCAATAATATCGGTTTATAATATCTTCTCTAGCCAAAACATATCTCAAATGTATTTGCAATCAGAGTTCTCTTATTCAATCCATATCTTGTTTTCTCTCTCTTTTTTTCAATTTTAATTTCCCATCAATATTCAAAATAACTTTATCAGTTATCATTTTTCTCATAATTAATTACATTTGGGTAATTAAAGCTTCCCTTAAGAGGGTCGCCTCTTAGTATTTTCATATTTCTCATCTTATAAAAAATATGTTATCCTAGTTACAAATCACATCCTTCTAATTTATAATGGTCCTTTTATTTCTAACTAGATGGTATAATACCTCATCTAATTAGTCAGGACCTCTATTTTCCTCAGTCTTACTCTAGCTTTCTTCCTTTGCCAAATAACTTTGCAAGTCAGTGCATTTAGGTCACCAAGTATTTCTTCCTCTGTTTCTGTATATATTATTTGGAATAAAAAAGACACTCTAATTAAAGTGTTTTTATAAAAACGCTTAATCCATTTATATTCGTTAAAGAGCTTCCATTTTCTTTCTCCTTCAGTTTCTCTTTTAGTTTCTTGTTCCCCAGTTTTCAGCATTTCTCCTAACAGCTCTGTCATCCATTCTATCAATTCTTCTTCCTTGATCAATTGTGTTCTGAAGTCTTGAAAAGTAAAATGTCTTTCCCATTTCCAGTGTTATGTCTGGGTCTTCCACATTTTTATTTATCTGTGCCTGTTTGTTGGTTTGTCCTTTTGAATCCTCTATCTTTATGTCAATTTTCTCTATTTTTTCTTCTGTTTCTGAGTTGCTAGTTCATTTTTATGGTCATTTTCTGAATGTTTTTTGCTTGTAAGTTTAAGTTGGAGAATTGCTCATTTATGTTATTTAAATTGTTTTTAGTCTCCTCATAATTTAAAACAATTGTCTCTTGAATTGATTTCAACATAGAAAGAATTTCTTTCTGAAGTCCATTTACATTTTCTTGTTGATTATCCATGTTTCTTCCAAAGAGAAATAATCCAGAAGCAACTTTCCCATTGTTTCTTATTATTTCTTGATAATTCTTGAAACTAAAAGTCACTCAATATTTGTAATCCAGGCCGGCCAATTTAGAATGGCTTATTGTCTCCTTCATACAGATAAAACAGCCCAAAGATTCCCCCCCTTTTCCCAGCTGCAGTCTGCAAAAGTGAAAGTTTCCAGGAACAACAAAGAGTCTGGGCTTCATGCCAAATTTTCTTTGTATAATAAATTGTAATGCCAAGGTTTACCACTAGATGTCATAAACATCCATCTTCCAGCTTTTAAGTCTAAATCTATTTCACCAACTTTCCAAATATCTTTTTCAAAAAGAAAGTCTTAAAAATATTTTTAGTTCCCAAATCTGTCAAAGCTATGTCTCTATATTAAATCAAAATTAACCTTGTAGTTTTCTCTAATTCCCCCCCCCCAAGAAAGTTATTCGCCGTTTCTCTTTTCCTGGGAGAACAGAGCGGAAATTCCCCTTCTCTCTATCATCTGGGAGATTCTTTGCTTTAGGAATTATAAAGAGAGGATCGTTCTCATACAGTTCCATCTGTGTTGTTCAGAGGTTGCTAGTTAATCCTTATCTTGGATTGTTGGCTTCTGGCTGGCCACATAAATGCAGCCAGTCTTTTTTCTGCCGGTTTGAAGGGCTTCCTCAGATCAAACGGAAGGGCCGCCACCCCTCCGGGATTGATGAGGGTCCCCTTTTTCTTCATCGTCTCTCTGGGGGTGACTTTAGACCCTTTTTAGGATTCCCAGCAGAGCGAAATCAGACGTGGAAAATAGAGCCCCGTTTTCCTGCACCCGTTGCACCACGACATCTAATCCAGAAGTCACGTTGTCTCAATTCCTTTGCAATCTTCACATTAAAATGAAATCCAGGCAATGCCACCTAGACACTCCTCACCAAATTTCCACAGCTGGGGTTATTTTAATATCCAGTCACTTATTGTTGCCTGGAACTGAGGAAGGCAAAGTGAGATGAAAAGCCAGAGCAGCAGAAAAGTATAACATTTTGCATTTTACAGTTAGGTTGCATAAACCAGCCCAGCCCAAATTAGATATCCTCACAAGCTGCAAAAATCTATAGATGGCAGGAAACTCTGCTATAGTTTGGTTGTCATCTGGATCTTTACAACACAGACATACTAGCTCTGTTCTATCACATAAATCCAAGACATTTCATGAGGATAAAGAAACATATTTTAGTATGATGCAGATTCCCAAATGTTTTGGGACAATTGGAACAGAAGAATCCTGCCTATTTTTTTCTAATTCTGAGTAAGGGCCACTGCAGAATATAGAGAATTGTGAAAAAAAAGAGGAAGAGAGAAATAATATACATCAAGTCTGCATCTCAGACCTATACTTTCATATCCACTTCTGTAAGAAAGCAATTATTTTCAAAGCATGATTCCCATAGAGTTCTCTTTAGCAAAAGTTATTGACATGGATGGGATTGACTCACAAGACTTCCAACAATTGAACTATTCTCAATTTAAAACCAATATATATCCATATACCCTCTTTCTAATAGCCTTTTGATGAACTGGCAGAGGATGATTTCTTCTCTGATAAAGAAAAGTTTGCAGCTAGTTATTGCATTAACAATCTCTTGAATCTACCAATTTGAGAACCAGAAGTTGCAACTACAGTATTCTTTTTCAAAAGCACTACAATGAGAGAATTTTACCATGAGTTAGGACTTTCAAAAAGTAATTTTTCATTAAAATTCCTAGAAAGAAACTGAAAAAAAATCTCAAAAATAAAGCACTTTCTAACTAAGCTTAATTTTCCTTTGTGAAGATGAGATTGCCAAAGGTTTATATATATTTACTTTAATCAACTTCTAACACCCTCAAGCTTTGAGTTAATCTTGAACAATGTCAACAATACTTTCATCATTTAAATTGTTAGAAACAACAGAAAATAAAGATTAATTTAGATAAAGTAAGTCCCTGTGACTCAGATCTCAGGATTTCAGTTAATCCAGCCACCCTCCCAGTAAAAAAGCCCATTTGTCTATAATTTCCGTATTGTTCAAAAGCATTGCCATCAAGGATTAAATCACCACAGAGTTAGCTCATGGATAACATTTGAAGCCAGATTTGTCCCACAGAAAAGAAGTTGAGAGATGTCGCAATTCTTGAAATGATCATGATAAAAAAGAGCATTCATTTCAGCAGCCTCAGTATTCTAGAACTATAACAATTATGAAATATCTATTGCTTATGTGATCTGACATTAAGATTCCTGTGAAATATAAATTCCATATTTAAATAAAAACATTTTAATATATTTTATGTATCTTTAACTTAATAAATTTTTTCATGTACACATTTCTTTTTTTAAAAAAACTTGTTTTTCAGCTCATGTATTACAAAATGGATAATTATTTCCATTTTTTTTGGTTTGGAATAGAGGGAAAACAACCATCAGAAAGTTATAACTGAAGAGAGGGGTGTTCATTGGAATATTACACATACAGTATACAGTCTCTCTATTTTTATCTATAAAATATATAATCTTATATGTAAATCCATAAAATATTCTGGGTGTTTTGGGGAGCACAGTATATGCTCTTAAGTGCACTATGATTTCTTTCATATATCCTTTTATTTAGGATATAAAGATACCCTTTTAACTGTTTAACAGAGGACATGAGTTCTGGAAAACAGCCTTCACCTCACTTCCAGCCCTCTATAGCAGGGCTTTTCAACCTTTTCACCCATTATACCACTTTTAGGATATGGCAATATCCAAGTACCACCAGTCACCTAGCAAGGTGTCAAAAACTTGATGACCAAAAAAAAAAGGAAAAAGGAAAAAAGTGATGAAGTACAGGTAGTCCTCGACTTACAAAAGTTCGCTTAGTGACTGTTCGAAGTTACAATGGCACTGAAAAAAGTG